TAACCATTATCACCATTATCGCTAAACCATGGTCTCTTGAATATTATCTCCAAACTTTGCTCTCCTAACTATTATCACCAAACTATGATCCTTTGGCAGTTGTTGCCCAACAATAGTCCTCCAATCACTATTGTCTAATAACACCCTCCCAAACATGGTTGCCCTAGTATTGCCTCTTAATTGACCATCACCTAATTAGAGTATCCTAACCTTTGTTGCATGACTAGAGTCCTCTAATCATTGTTGCCCTGTTATAGTCTTTTTATCATCATTGCCCAACTATGATTCTCCAATCATCGTCGTCTAATAATGTTTTTTCAACTACCATCATATATATACAAACTCTTTACCATTATAGCCAAACTATAGTCTCCCAACCATCATCGCTTGGCCACGATCATTCCGCTAAAGTCTTCGGATAATTATCCCTTAAATACAAGATAACCCATACATATAAGGTTAATGCAAACCATCAACACCAACAATGTCACCTGCTAACTTCGTCGATCGTAATTGCCACTAATATTGACGAACACCATCACCTATAAGGATGATGCATACTATCGACCCTAACTCCAACTATCGATAGCAAAACCAATATTTATACTAAGCTTCTTGACTTTGGTCTCCTCTGCTGAAAGGAAAATGATTGAATCAATAATAAACAATCTCTTGAAATCAAATTCAATAACTCAAAACTCTTCCACTATGGAGTCAATCCTCTACAATTACGGTTTATTACATTGTGTCACTACCTTCCCTAATGATAAAAGAAGGCATTATATATTTGTAACTGATGACATATATTAGTATAATCATTTTGACTAACCTTTTCATTTTTCTAATTTTCTTTTAAGTTAAATATTTCTCTATATATCCCTATAAATGTTTTAGCATCTCATGATCAAAATTTATTCTCTATATTTCCTCATTATATTATAAATTTTATTTAATTGTGAGGACCATTTTTCAATTTAATGCCGACATTTCCAGCTAACATTGAATCCAAAGGGTAGTTGAAATGAACAATATTTTCACTGTATTATATAGAAATTGTTTTTTATTTCAGTACGTTATATTCATAACATTATTAATAAAATTTAATTATTTTTTCAACCCCAACCTTTTATGCAAATATTAAAATTCTGCACTGCAAAAAAAAAAAAATCATTGGTGCAAAATCAATAAAGATCACAATCACAAAAAGAAAGATTATAATCTGGACGGCTAAGATGTCATAGAACGAGTCTTTGACGTATATTGATCTCTTCAATATAACTCATAGGCAAATAAAAATATACTCAAATTTATAAATTATTCTTAATTGTGAAGAATATAACTTCATTTTTAAATTTAAAAGGCAATCATGATTAGTAGAATTAATAGTTTAGCTAAAAAAATTAAAATAATTATAAAATCAAATTATTTTTGGCACAAATTGAGGGTCTATTTGGTTGGAAGTAAAATTTGTGTAAACTATTGTAAATGCATGAGTTTTAAAATTATTAGTGTTTTATTGGATGAAAAATGAATGCAAAATAAAAGAAATATAACGAAAATCATTTTAGTTCATTTTTGAGGTAAATTAAATTCACCCTATTTTGAGTGAGAACCGTTTACATGGCAAACAAGCTCGCTTGATCGCCGCCACCTGAGATCGCCCACCATCGCTGGCCAACGCCACCTACTGTTGACTATCCCCGTACCACCTATCGCCAACCATCACCCCGCTGTCCACCACCACCGCCGCCACCACTACAAGTGATCGTCGCCTATTACGGTCACCCACCGGCCACCATCATCTTTGAATATCATATTATATTTATTTTACTTCAAATTAAACAAAAAATATATTTATATATTTTTTACTTTATACTCATCTAAACAAATACAAAATACTATTTTTAAATATTATTATTATTTTTATTCTACCAAACAGCCCTTTAGTAAAGATAAATTATAAATATATATTTATAAAAAATAATAATTCGAATGAGCCGTATTTATTTGACCTTATTTCAAATTAAAAAAAAAGGACAAAAAGATGATTCACAGCTACTCATAAATATATCTTTCCTTACTGCATTCCACGTTTCACGTTTGTATGTATTAAGGTTTTTTTTAGTGGTTATTATTCATGAAAAAGAACATTCTAGATGACTCAGTCAAAAGAAGAAAACCAACCCTCTTTGATTAGCATTAAAAGGAAGGCTAGCTCCCCAGCACCCATTCCCGAACGCTATCCAAATTCTACATCAAATTTCCTATCTCTTAAAGGAGAAATTATTACAGGCGGATCCGAATACGATCAGACTCTAATATATATAACTTATATAAAAATCATATTATATATATATATATATATATTATGTGTATAAGTTGTGCACAGGATGTGCATAAGCAAGTGCATTAATCATGTGGTTTGTACATTTTGGAGTCCGTAACTTCTCCTCTAGAAGAGGACAAAAATTATGACAAAGCATTTTGATTAAAAGGAAGGCTAGCTTTTCATTTTTGAGTTTTCTACATCAGATAGGCAAAATCCATATACGACAAGACTCCAATATATACAAGTTGCATAACTTATATGCAAAACACATTTTATAGATCGACATACTATGTACAAGTTGTACACAGGATGTGCATAAGCCAATGTATAAGCCACGTTACTTGTACATATTGGAGTCCGTAACTTCTCCTCTAGAAAAGGACAAAAATTATGACAAAGTATTTTGATTAAAATTAAAAGGAAGTAGCTTTTCATTTTTGTGTTTTCTACATCAAATTCTACATTAAAAAGAAATTATTACAGACATAGTATGGATGCGACCGAACTCCAATATATACAAGTTACTTGACTTATATACAAAACACATTTTATACGTATCATATGTACAAGTTGTACACATGATGTATATAAGCCAGTGTATAAGCCACGTGGCTTGTACATACTGGAGTCCGTAACTTCTCTTGAAGAGGACAAAAAGTATGAAACGTATTTTGATTAAAAGGAAGTCTAGCTTTTCATTTTCGGGCTTTCTACATCAAATACTACATTAAGGAGAAATTATTACAGGCAGAGTCCAAATGTGTCCGAACTCCAATATATACAAGTTACGTGACTTATATACAAAACACATTTTATACATATCTTATGTACAAGTTGTACACATAATGTGTATAAGATAGTGTATAAGCCACATGGCAGGTACATACTGGAGTTTGTAACTTCTCTTGAAGAGGACAAAAATTATGCAAAGTATTTTGATTAAAAGGAAGCTAGCTTTTCATTTTCGGGCTTTCTACATCAAATTCTACATTAAGGAGAAATTATTACATGCATAATCTGGATGCAATCGGACTCCAATATATACAAGTTACGTGACTTATATACAAAACACATTTTATACATTTCTTATGTACAAGTTGTACACAGGATGTGTATAAGCCACGTGGCTTGTACATATTGGAGTCCATAACTTCTCCTCTTGAAGAGGACAAAAATTATGACAAAGTATTTTGATTAAAAGGAATGCTGGCTTTTCATTTTCGGGTTTTCTACATCAACTACATTAAAGACAAATTATTACAGGCAAAGTCCAGCTGCGACCGAACTCCAATACGCACAAGTCACATGACTTGTACATATTGGAGCCCGTAATTTCTCCTCTTGAGGAGGACAAATAATATAACAAAGTATTTTGATTAATTGTTTTTGTTAAATGAGTTTTAATAGAAAATTCTAACTTTATATGCCTCATAAGATCCCAAGTTAAAGAAAAATAGATTTTTATTTCTTTTCGGCATGCATTGAAGTTTCATTTGGATCAAAATATCTCAGAAATCCATATTACTTTTTAAACTTTGTTGCTATAAAAATTAATTTGAGCAAGATTCAAATATTATTAGAACATGATTAAAGAGATATGTGACAAAAAATTCTAATCAAATATTTGAGAGAGCTTAGTCATAAACAAAGATGAAGATGAAAATGTTGCATTCAAACTTTGTCTCAAAATCATTAATCATAAATGAGAGTAGCAGAAGCTGAAGAACGCATTGAGAATTGGAGTAGATTAACTTTTTTGCGTGAATGGTCACTTAAAGAAACTATAATATTCCCCTAAGAAATGAAATATCAATCATATTACTCTAATGTCAAGCACTATAAGGATAAAAAGTTCAATCTCTCTTTTAATATATGTTTTAAATTTATTTTAAAATAAATGTGATATATTATTAATCAATTATTTAATTATTATATTATATTAATCTCAAAACAAATTTAAGTGTTTAAATTAATTTTAACTAAATTTTGTTCAAAATAATTATTATATAGATATTAATTTGTTTAAATGATGAATACTAAATGAAAGTAAAATGAGAAGCTTAAGGCTTAGTTTAGATAGCTTTAGACTACCCATTTTTTCTTGCTATCAGTAAATATTTATATTAAGGCTTCATTTGGGATGGCTTTCTTGCTGCTTCTTAAAACAACTTTCTAGTTCAATAATTAAAATTTTTATACTAGAAAGCTGCTTTAGAAAATAACAAGAAAGCCATTTCAAATGAAGTCTAAAAAATAACTTTATAAAATAGTAAGAAAATCGTGCCAAACGAAACCTAAACTTACAATAGGGAAGAAACAACTTCAATCAAGTGTAAGAAATCGTTTAAGCTTACACCCCTTTTTTTTTAGTATTTTTTACCAATCATCTTTGTCTCCTCGATCTCTCTATCTCTCTCTCTCCAAGTCAATTTTCTCTCCTTTGCAATCTCACTTCTCTCTTTCACCTCAATCTACTACATTTTTGTAAATCTCATCCTTTCTTGATAATAATTATATTAGAAATGATATAATATTAATTTTAAAAAATTCAAATTATTATAATTACTTAAATATTAAATTTATTTATTAAATATTTATATTACACTAAATAAAAAATTTCTTAAACCCCATTTTAATTAAAATTATATAAATATATCCATCTCATAATTTCTGTCCTTCTAGAATCCGTTTTTCCACATTAAATTCTCTTTCCAAACCCGAAGACTTTATCATCAGGCCTACAATCTCTAAAGGCGACAAAGAAAAGAAGAAATCGGATAAAAACAGGCGGCCGGAGACCCTTCTGTTCTGTCATAGATAATTCAGAAGAGCAAAAAAGATGGAAGTGGTGGTGCCGGTGCCGGAATTCCATTTCCACACAGCCATGACTACGCCGTACATCAGCGCGCCGTCGAGCCCCCCGAATCACTTCACCGACAACTCATCCTTCATCGAATTCCATCACAGCCATCACGTCAGTGCTCCCAGCAGCCCCACCTCTTCCGCAGCTATCTACGCCGCCTTCCGCAGAACCGCCGCCGCTACCCGCGGCAGCCGCCACTCATCCATCCCTTTCGACTGGGAAGAAAAGCCAGGCACGCCCAAATCCTCCAGCTTCGATCAAAAAGAGGACGAATTTGACCAAAAAGAGGACGAATTTGACTTCGACTTCTCCATCGGCTTCAGCGGCCAAAATATGGACAAGTTATCGCAGCGGCCGCCGGCATCGCATGGGAAGGTGGCGTCCTTGGCCACCGCCGACGAGCTGTTCGAGTTTGGAAAGATCCGGCCTTTGAAGCCTCCACCGAGACTCTACTCGCCGGTGATGGGAGAACAGGGGCCAAAATCGCCGAGGAGCGGCGGATTTTTGTCTCCCCTGCGCCGCGGCCGAAACCGGCGGGGAAAAGAACTCGACCCCTTCGTTCTAGCCATGGTAGAGGCGACGAAAAGCCGAAGGGAATCGAGGTCTCTTTCTCCTTTTGGTGGCAGAGGAAAAGTAGGAAGCTTTCTAACTCCTGTATCATCCCCTCCTCGAAATTCTACTCCCATGGCGGAGAAGGGCGGGCGAGGGTGGATGTATCGGCTTAAGGAATTGCTTCTCTTCCGAAGCTCGTCTGAGGGACGGGACAGAGGAGAAACCAAAAACAAAGATTTTTCCAAGTATGGAAGCTCGTCGTCATCTTCTTCAGCATCGTCGACATCGTCGTTGGGGTCCGCGAAGGGGAAAACAGGATTTAGTGCTGCGGGCGGCGGTGGATGCGAGGAATCGAGCTGCTCGAGCTTCAGGTCGGAGGAGAGTGGATCAACGCGCCGAGGGCCGGTGGTTCCGCAAGAGCTGGAGTTTACGGAGAACAGAACGGTGGTAGTGATGGACAAGAAGTTGGTGGTGCCGCACAAGCAAAGTATGTTCAGCGTCCGCGGATTCACCGCCGGCAAGTTTGGCGCGTCCTTCATCCGTCGACGGACTTGAATATAGATGGTCTGTTTTGAAGATTTTTTTTTTTTTTTTAATTTTAATTTCATGTTTGAAAAGATGGATCGTGCAGACTCATAACTAATATAGGAGAGATTATTACGCGACTGAAGCAGATTTTTGTTTGAACTTCAATCTTATAAGATATTTAAATTTTTTCTTTCTGGTACATATTGTGTATAGAAAGGAAAAAAGAAATTCAGATGTCTTGGAGAAATTATTATGCGTAGAGTCCGAACTCAAAGAATCGTTCAATTTTGTGATTGTGAATAATAAAGACACAGTAAAAGTGCAATGGTGAACAATATTGTGCTTTAAATGTTCATAGTCATACAACTGAATGATTCTATGGATCTGAACTCTGTATGTAATAATCTCTCCTTCACATGATTGAAGTCAGAGGACGTCCGGGCTCTGCACATTATAATTTTTCCTGATATAGACACCTCTTTATGTTATTTTGTTTTTTTTATTTGAGTGAATAAAATTATAAATTTACAAATATCGCATAGGTAAGTCTTTGTCCTGTGACTTTCTGGTTGGAAAATTTAAGCTCCAAATTAATAAACTAAGCTAAGCTACATAATTTGCTTCTTTTGAATTACATAATCTTCTAGATCAGCCGAGTATTAGTCACACTGTCAAGCACCCTTTCGAGTGTGGCAGCCGATGTATATCCCGTTCCCAAAAAATAATATTATTAATAATAGCCCATATATCTTTGGCCAATCAAGCATTCAATAGCTAGCTTTTATTGAAAAAGTTTGTATGTTTCTACTTCAAATACGAAAGTGATAATACTAAGATTGATCTCCACCCTTTGGATTCATTAAAGGTTTTGGCTACTTGAGGTGTTCAAAATTTTAGATCATCTTGATGTTCGCTCTAAATGTATTTAATGTAGTATAATAAGATACATGGAAGTATATCTTTTAAAAAATTCATTGGAAACTAAAATTTTTACGTAGAAAAACTATAAAGAGAAAAAATCAGAGGGCCTAAATCAATCGAAACAATCAACCATACAATTATCATGAACATGACTGGACAAATATGTATGCGAACAAAATCATTATATTTCAAATATAAATCCATATTCATTTTTAATTAGTGCTCATTCCATGGCCTCTAGATCAAAATTAATTTATTTTTTAATAAAACTATTAGATTTGATAATTTTTTTAAGGAGAATATCGGAGTTTCAAATCGCCATAGGCTTAATTACATCCAATAAAATGATACATTTGATAAATTTCATCATTCTTAATATGTATTTTATAGCTTCCAGCAATTAAATAAGGCCTTACAGAAAATAACGTTTACCTTTATATAGCACATCAAAGTAGATAACGCCATTTATCTCTCAACACTGCCGTCATTAAATTGTTCAACAGACAGTAAGGAATTTAAAACTGATAGTACTGCACATGGTCGACTAACTTCATTATTTCCGGTTTTGTTTCATTTAGAATGTTTAAGAAATTATTCTGTGCGTACGCCAAACGTTATCTGGAGACTAATTAAAATGCGTCACGTCAGCCTTTCGCTCGATACGGTTCAGTACCGTGGCTCGGTACCGCTGCCATGACTGCACCTGATTCGCCTCCGGACGTAGAGCTGCGTCCGGCCTCCGCATAGAATAATTTCTCCAAATGTTCAGAGTCATAACAGAGTAAATATCAAGCAAAGGATTAACCATTTTCTTAAACAATACAGTAAAGTCATACAGAGGTTGAAGACAATAGGAGCATATAAAAGATAATGCAAATACAAAATTTCAAAAATTGGATGTCTTTTCCAACAATACAAAGGAAACTTACAGGACAGAAAAAAAAAAATCTCTATCTGCTATGAGTTATCTTAGCATGTTTGGTAGGTAAGGTACTGATATGAAATACAGACTGTAAAACTTTGCAAGATAGCTATTAAAAATTGATATTGCTTCCTATGTTAATTGAATAGGTAAGAAATTGAGATGAAGCACTAAAACAAAAAAATCAATTAGCTACCATATGCTGCAAAAGTCTTAACAATTGGAAGCAAAATAATTCGAAGGGTCAGTTTGTTAGCATAATACTACAAGAACATATTAACTGTATTGACACTCAACATTTCCTTGTGCTAAATAAGATGTTAACTGTAATGTAAGTAGATATTTTTGCACAAATGTTAGTCTATAATTGTTGATCTACTCATCTCCTTGTCCTTTTCACATTAAGGCTTGTTTGATAATGTTTATGGATTCTGAAGAACCTTCAAAAGGCAGCTTTTCAACCTCCTATAAACCTAATTCCATTCTCCTGGCCTTATTGATCATAGTCTCCTTCACTATATTTTTCTAAAACAGTATCCTTTGCGTTTTCATTTCATGAAAGATATAAAAAACAAACAGATATAACCTCATGTTAATATAATAAAACTACACAACACAATATTAAACAAAATCTTATAGATCATTTCCAAAAATGAAATAGGTTAATAACAGACAGTTGGAGAAAACTACTACTCTGAGCGGCGTCCGGGATGAATTATTCTGTGTGGGCGTCGAACGCCGTTCATAGACAAATGAAAATGCGACACGTCACCCCCTACTCGGTACCGAGCTCGGTACTGGATGACGTGGCTGCACCTGATTCGCCTCTGGACGATAAGCTGTCCGGTGTCCGCACAGAATAATCTCTCGGCATCCGAAAACCACCTAAAAAGTAAGGCCACTGCACTCATTAAAGCACAGCTGTAACTTCCACCGAGCAAAGGCTAACTCATTGAACTCATTAAAGCTTAACTGTCACTGCCAGTGTGACCAACCAGAATGGCAACACATAAAGAGGAAGTTTTAATTTCCATGAGGTACACAAGTAATCAAAACTACACATGCCAGCAAAAGCAAAAAAGTTGAGAGTGGCGAAATAAAAACTACAGTAACTGTCTCCTAGAAAAAATAAGGTACAGAGCTGCAATGATTATGAAGCAATAAACCATTCACAAATCAGGATTCAGGTACACATGGACATGTTATTTCGCATGATTCAATGGGTTGGCATTGACAGATTAAAAACTAATAAATAGTTTGGTTGGCATTGACAGGTTAAAAACTAATAAATAGTTGAGATGTGTTTATTTTGTACTGCATATGACATCTTTTTTTCAGAAGATCTTGTGATGAGAAGATACATTTCACAATCAAATCTGCTAGTTTGATAGATATCTTATTAATGAAAAATTTCATGATATTCACAACAGATTTTAAATTTTTTTTCTTAATAATTTCACAACTAATTTTTCAGGTACTAGTTATCCAAAACAAACCCATATCATAAAGAATTCTCTAATTTACTGTCCATGAAAAAAAAATTTATAACATCTTTAGAAAATTTAAGCATGTTTTATGTATTTTGGTCAAGGTATTCTCACTTTTGCCATAATGCTTGCATTCATGGATACAAAGCTTGCAAATTTAATTTCAAAGGAGATGATCATTAAGGTTTCGTTTGGGACAACTTTCTTGCTGTTTTGCTTTTCAAACCGCAATCACAATATATGTTTGGCTATTATTTTGTCACTATTTTTAAGAAAATTTTGTGCTAGGAAGTTGCTCTATGTAACAGCTTTAAAAAGAATTAATTTCTTCACATCAGCTTTACAATCACCTTTAATAAAAAAATTAAAGTCATCTAAAATGGATTCTAAGGGCCTGTTTGGCAGCAATCAGGATTTAACTTTAGTAGGGATTTAGTAAATCTAGATTTATTAAATCCTAGGATGTTAAATCATGAAAACTAATTGACAATATAACTGTTAAATCTTGCTTAATCCTAAATGCATGCTACTATGGAGCTATGCTGAATGTGGTATTTGAGAAGAAGCTTCTTATGTTATGATGTACTATGTTATGTTATGGTGTAATAATACAATTGTATTGTGGTAGTTTTTATCTTTGTTGAAGTTCATTTACATTTTATGTGTATTTGAGAATTTAATGGCTCCAATTTTAACTTTGGCAAGTAAATCTTAATTGGTTCATTCCATCATGATTGAAAATTGTTCATCTGTTTGGCTTATTCTTTTTAGGTCTAGCTTGGTTTAGATTCCTCTTTTTGGCAAGCAAACCAAAACAGTCGTTTTCCATGTTGTGTTGGAGTAGAAGTCCATTAAAAAATAGTGGCCTTTTAATTACATCTTATGGTTCATAAAATGTTTGGCATCAACCAGGATTTAACTTTAGTAGGGATTTAGTAAATCTAGATTTATTAAATCCTAGGGTATTAAATCCTGAAAACTAATTGACAATATAACTGTTAAATCTTGCTTAATCCTGAATGCTTGCTACTATGGAGCTATATTGAATGTGGAATTTGAGAAGAAGCTACTTTTGTTATGATGTACTATGTGTCTTATGTTATGTTGTAACTAGATTACATTGATAAAAAGTTTCACAGGATTAAACAAAATTTAACAGTTACATTCAATTTTCAGGATTTAACACCCTAGGATTTAGTAAATTCAGATTTATAGGATTTACTAAATCCTACTAAAGTTAAATCCCGGTTGTTGCCAAATAGGCCCTTAGAGTCCATTTTAAATGACTGTAATTTTATTATAAAGGTGATCGTAAAGTTTTTATGGAGAAATTAATTCTTTTTAAAGCTGTTACATAAAGCAACTTTCTTGCACAAAAATTTCTTAAAAAGTATGCATGTCATACCACTTAAAATATGTTGTCTTCTCTTCCATCTAAATTGAGAACAGATAACCAAATCATATATCCGATCTAGGGTTTAGAACAAGTGGATGGTTGATTAATCAAATGGTTCATGAGCAGATTGTGAAAAGATCACAAAGAACAGGATTGATTAAATTTTTGCGATCCTATTTATTGATGAAGAACATCAATGATGGTGATTCCTAGATCGAAGATGAAGTTAAGAGTTCAAAGGTCAAGGCAGATCATCATTCGAATGCCTTGAGGCTTGAGTTCAAAATCATGATGAAGGAATTGATGGTCATTCAACCTAGGGAATTTATCTAATCTTCCAATCCTAAAAAAAGATTCAATTTGAATTCTCTTTGATTGGATATATTTGTTTTTTTAATTCAAAATTAAGATTTTCTTATTTTATGGAGTTAGTCTATGATTCGTGTCATGATTATTCGAATAGTTTTACGTTAGCTGCCGACTACCTAACACAATCCTTCATTTTTCTCATCCAGGACTTGGGACCTGACAACGACAGTGTTAAAAATTTTAACGAAGATTTTGATAATGCAATTGACTTTAGTGATCTTAGTACCCTAATGAAAATAAAGATTTTTATTTTTATCGGCGTATTAGTAAAACCGAAGTTAAAAAGGCTTTAAAGAAAATGATGTGTGGAAAAGCTATGGACATGATGATATTCCAATAGAGGTGTGAAAATGCTTAGGAGATGAAGGAATTTCTTGGCTTAAGAAACTTTTTAATATTATTTTGAAGACTAAAAAGATGTCAGATGAATGGATAATGAGTGTTTTGATTCCTATTTTTTAATTTAAGAATAAAGGTGATGTACAAGATTGCGTGAATTATAGAAGAATTAAGTTAATGTGTCATACTTTAAAACTATTTGAGAGAGTTATGGAGCATAGGTTGCATCATGACACTAATGCTTCTCAAAATCAATTTGGATTCATTCTAGGTAGGTCTACTATGGAAGCTATACATTTATTGGGAGGTTGATGGAGAAATATAGAGAGAATGAGGAGTATCTACATATGATTTTTATTGATTTAGATAAAGCATATGATAAAGTTTTGCTATGGAGAGTTCTACATAAAAAAGGATTAATAATTCTTATATTCAAGTCATAAGAGCACACATTTTAGATATATTGGATCTATTGTTCAGAGTGATGATGAAATAGTTGGGGATATTATTAGTAGAATTCAAGTTGGATGGTTGAAGTGGAGGAATGCATCGGGCTTGTTATGTGATAGAAAAGTCCCTCTCAAACTTAAGGGAAAATTCTATAAGATGGTAGTGAGACCTACAATGCTTTACGGTACAAAATGTTGGCCATTAAAAGAGAAACATAATATTAAGTTAAGTGTTGCAGAGATGAGGATGCTCATGAGGATAAGTGGCATTACTCTTAAAGACAGAATACGAAATGAGCATATACGTGAAAAGGTTGGAGTATATAGTATATATAACACCATCAAATATGCAACAGTTTAATCCATAAAAAGATATTAAATACCCAACCTATACCTCCATTCCTGATTAGGCTTTCCGTCAAGGTATTGTCAATATTGCGACATTACAAAGATTTACAAAACTACTCTTCTGAATATTTGGAAAAATAACAGAAATTTAATGAAAACGTGATGCTGCAAACAATGCAAAAAAACTCTTGACAGCCGGTTCATTTCTGTGAATTGAACAAAAAAAAAAAAATGTGTGTGGAACCTAATGTGGTTCAAATAAAATTTTGAATCAGGCCAGAGTTTCCTTACCCTCAAAGAACATATAGTCTGCCATAAAATGTAAGATTTATCCATCCATATATAAAAATGCTTCACGCTCGCTTCTTATACAAAAATAACCAAAATGCATACCAAAGAAAGGCAGTATATAGTATATAAGCACCACCACAATGCAACCAGCCAGAAGAAATGGCCTGAAAATCCATTCTTAAATGGTTGGGGTGGATTCAGGTTGTTGAACTGGTTGAGGTGATTCTAGAACACAATAACCTAAACTCAATAATGTCACGCTCATAGGCAATCAAGGGCAAATTATTCTGACCGGAGACCGCACGCAAGCTTATGTTCGGATTTGTTGCACTTTTACTGCTCTTTTACTGTATTTTTGCAAAAGGTAGCCAATATACAATTTTAATTACGTATTAGCTGCCCTTTTACTGTGCTTTTGCTGAGTGTTTGCAAAAGCGCAGCAAATACTCAATTAGTAAGATATTTGCTGCGCTTTTACTTCGTTTTTACTGCGCTTTTGCTGTATTTTTGCAAAAGGACAGCTAATATGCAATTAAAATTGTATATTAGCCGCTTTTGCAAAAATACAGCAAAAGCACAGTGAAAGTACAATAAATCCGAACATAAACTTGCGTGCTGTCTCTGGAAAGAATAATTCGCCGCAATCAAGAGACTAGAACCTGCGCATGAAATCTATTTGAAAAAGAATCAATGACTAATCCACATTTACATGCGCATCAGCACAGATCTAAAACACATAAATTAAAAGCGCGCACTGATAAGAGGCAAATCTGCAATTCTATCTGGTAACAGCCTGCTTCCATATCACCAAAACTAAAGCGATTTTGTGAACTTGGTAGCCAAGATGCCATTGCTGGCTGTTGTACATACTCATTTCATACAATAAGCTAACTCCATCCTCTTGAGCATCACAAGCTACACCACCAAATAGAATAAAACAGAGAATTCATAGAACAGTAACTGAAATATGTCTAACATGTTCAGATTTATTGAACTATTTGGCTAATTAACAAAATCTATAAATTGAGCAGATTAGATTACTAAAATAGACAAGCTAAATAAAACAAAGATGCAACTAATTACACGGGGAAACGATCAGCCAATGGAAAGTTCCACACAACATTAGGAATCGGCCCTGCACACTTCCTTTCCCATCAAATTTAATCCCAGCATGGAGAAATAAAGTTAATCAATTACACTTACTCTCAATATGGTATGCTCAGCAATGTGGCCCCAATTTCAATAATCAATATGATCTGTAAAGACCAAGCATTGGTTTCTCTCTTTCATCTACTCTTTTCCTTGCAGCTTCTCTTGCTTTCAGAGCTTCAATTTCCTCCTTAGATGTACCTTTTGTTTTCTCTCCCTCCCTTTTCCTCTTGTTAACAGCAATTGAAGAGGGAGCACCTTTAACAGACCTCATAGGATTTAGCGATGATGAAACAACCAAACCCGGTGCCTTGTCTCCTTTTAGCTTAGCAGTACTTCTATCTACAGCTGAAGATTTTGATGATGATGCTTCGGTTTTTGGAAGCCTAGAAGATATATATTATATGCAAGAGTTGTTACTTGTGTTCAAACACAAGATGGTTTGACCAAGTATTTTCCTATTTCAATTAGATTAGGAAAGGATTAGAGCCTTAAGCCCATATCTTTTTTCTTTATTCATGGATGTTCTCACTAGTTATTTGCAAGAGGTTGTACCCTATTATATGTTTTTTTTTTCTTATAATATTCTTCTTGCTGATAAGACTAGAGAGGTAGTTGAAGGTAAAATTAAATCAAAGCTTTCGTTTAAGTAGATCTAAAACTGAATATATGGAGTGTAATTTTAATAATAATAGATCTAGTGGAGGGATTGTGACTTTGGTCGATCAAGTCATTAATAAGAGCACACATTTTAGATATATTGGATCTATTGTTCAGAGTGATAATGAAATAGATGAGGATATTATTAGTAGAATTCAAATTGGATGGTTGAAGTGAAGGAATGCGTCAGGCTTATTATGTAATAGAAAAGTCCCTCTCAAACTTAAGGGAAAATTCTATAAGATGATAGTGAGACCTACAATGCCTTACAGTGCAGAATGTTGGCCATTAAAAGAGAAACATAATATTAAGTTAAGTGTTGCAGAGATTAAAAAAAAAAAAAAGTGTTCCAGAGATGAGGTTGCTCAGGAGGATGAGTGGCATTATTCTTAAAGACGGGATACAAAATGAGCATATACGTGAAAAGGTTGAAGTAGCTCCAATGGAAGATAAGATTAGAGAGTCGCCTTAGATGGTTTGGTCAGATAAAACGACGGCCTTCCGATGACCCGGTTAGTAAAATAGATTTATTAGATTTGACTTATATTAAGAAAAGTAGAGGTAGACCTAAAAAAACTTGGTTAGAAAATATTAGAAATGACCTTTCTTTATTAGATTTAGATGAGAATTTGACCCTTAACAGGACACAATTGAGAAAAAGATTCATGTAGCCGGCCCCACATAGTTGAAAGCGCACTATAAAAATTTTTATTGAAAAAATAACTTTTAGAAAGCCTGACAGAAAAAAAAAAACAGAAAATAGCTTTTCTCTAATAATCTTTCCTCCTAATCCTGCCACTAGCAGATGATCTAAAGAGCATTAAGATCACTATGGTTCATTTTGCAGTATCTATACCATCCATCAAATCTGTAACAGTTTAATCCATAAAAAGATATTAAATACCCAACCTATACCTCCATTCCTGACTAGGCTTTCCGTCAAGGTATTGTCAATATTGCAAAGATTTACAAAACTTCTCTTCTGAATATTTGGAAAAATAACAGAAATTTAATGAAAACGTGATGCTGCAAACACTGCAAAAAACTCTTGACAGCAGGTTCATTTCTGTGAATTGAACAAAAAAATAAATAAATTTTGTGGAACCTAATGTGGTTCAAATAAAATTTTGAATCAGACCAGAGACCAGAGTTTCCTTACCCTCAAAGAACATATAGTCTGCCATAAAAAGTATGTAAGATTAATCCATCCATATATAAAAATGCTTCACGCTCGCTTCTTATACAAAAATAACCAAAATGCATACCAAAGAAAGGCAGTATATAGTAGATAAGCACCACCACAATGCAACAAGCCAGAAGAAATGGCCCGAAAATCCATTCTTAAATGGTTGGGGTGGATTCAGGTTGTTGAACTGGTTGAGGTGATTCTAGAACACAATAACCTAAACTCAATAATGTCATGCTCATAGGCAATCAAGGGCAAATTATTCTGTCCGGAGACCGCACACAAGCTTATGTTCGAATTTGCTGCGCTTTTGCTGTATTTTTGCAAAAGGCAGCTAATATACAATTTTAATTGCGTATTAGCTGTCCTTTTACTGAGCTTTTGCTGAGTATTTGCAAAAGCGCAGCAAATACTCAATTAGTAAGATATTTGATGCGCTTTTACTGCGCTTTTGCTGTATTTTTGCAAAAGGGCAGCTACCTTTTGCAAAAATATAGCAAAAGTGTAGCAAATCCGAACATAAGCTTGCCGTCTCCGGACAAAATAATTTGCCGCAATCAAGAGACTGGAACCTGCGCATAAAATCCATTTGAATAAGAATCTATGACTAATCCACTTATACATGCGCATCAGCACTGATCTAAACACAGAAATTCAAGCGTACACTGACTGATAAGAGGCAAATCTGCAATTCTATCTGGTAACAACCTGCTTCCATATCACCACAACTAAAGCGAATTTGTGAACTTGGTAGCCAAGATGCCATTGCTGCCTGCTGTACATACTCATTTCATACAATAAGCTAACTCCATCCTCTTGAACATCACAAGCTACACCATCAAATAGAATAAAACAGATAATTCATAGAACAGTAACTGAAATATGTCTAACATGTTCAGATTTATTGAACTATTTGGCTAATTAACAAAATCTATAAATTGAGCAGATTAGATTACTAAAATAGACAAGCTAAATAAAACAAAGATGCAACTAATTACACAGGGGGAAATGATCAGCCAATGGAAAGTTCCACACAACATTAGGCGATGCCCTTCACACTTCCTTTCCCATCAAATTTAATCCCAGCATGGAGAAATAAAGTTAATCAATTACACTTACTCTCAATATGGTATACTCAGCAATGTGGCCCCAATTTCAATAATCAATATGATCTGTAAAGACCAAGCATTGGTTTCTCTCTTTGATCTACTCTTTTCCTTGCAGCTTCTCTTGCTTTCAGAGCTTCAATTTCCTCCTTAGATGTACCTTTTGTTTTCTCTCCCTCCCTTTTCCTCTTGTTAACAGCAATTGAAGAGGGAGCACCTTTAACAGACCTCATAGGATTTAGCGATGATGAAACAACCAAACCCGGTGCCTTGTCTCCTTTTAGCTTAGCAGTACTTCTATCTACAGCTGAAGATTTTGATGATGATGCTTCGGTTTTTGGAAGCCTAGAAGATGGGAATGCCACATCCTGTGTAACCCACTTCCCTGGAATATCAATCGTGTTGGTAAAATCCACAAGAAACAAAAGAAAATCACAAGGAATAATCAATCATTTTGGTAAAGTTCATTAGAAACAATAGATATGGGATGAAGGTGTCATAAGTTGAATTGAAAACACATCAAACATGCACATCTGAAGGTATATTCCAAGTAAACGCACAACTGGATACACTCAAGCAGGAGCTCAAACACAAAATAAACATTCATGTATACACATACATTCACTTTTAAAAAAAAAACACATATACTAAGTGCATACTTAACAAAAAAAAAAAAACTACAGAAAAACACACACATGAATAAGCATGCAGAGAGAAATAAACACCCGTACATGAGCCCCCACACACATGACAGGCATAAATAGACATGGGCATACATGCAACCCGTTGAAATCACGTACATGAAGATACATCATATTAACAATGATACATGGACAAAACGTGGGCAATAGACACAACAAGACACCAAAACACAAATCCTTGCATGAAATCTGTTAGACCAGTCCAGTCGACCCAAACCAAAGGGCCGGCTTTTGTTTATGCCAGGTGGACCAATAATCCGCCTAGGTTTCAGCCCGCCCCCCTTGGGGGCCCCACTAGGTGATCTAATTAAGGAGGAGGATTAGGGAGGAATTAAGGAAGAGGGGGGCTGTTTAGTAATTTGCTAGGTTATTTTGTATGCTTTAAGTAGAAAAGTTGGAATTAGGGTTAGGGTTATATATGTTTTTGCTGGAATTTTATGTTGGTGTTGGGTGTTCTTAGGCTCTAGCGGCGCCTAGAGATTTGGGAGAGCCAGATGCTCCTCTTGAATTGAGGATAAATTGTATCTTAGTCGTTGAAATCTCAATATTGGTAAGAAACACCAGTGTTCTACAAGTTTTTCATATCAAAATCATGCATGCCTATAAACACACATACATGAAAAAACATGGAGAAAGAGGTTTGGGTGGGCAGGGAGGCTGCATACATGAATCAACAAATGCTCACAATCAACCAACTACAATGCTCACAATCATACAACTATAAAAACATACATGTACAAAAAGATATATATGTGCATATATAAGCAAACCAAGACATATATGCATACATAGGTTTACACTAGTACACAAGCACACACATGAGGCCGCAGTGCCGCACATACTAAAGCGCACACACAAACATGTATGAGGTATATAACATTCATATAATCATACAACTATACTAGTAGAGGTAAAAGCATATTGTTGTACGGAAAGCAAATGGGATAAAATTAATAATGATGATGATAATATACTTACAGATAAACATATATGCATGGATGAGCTTACTCATACACGCACAAATATATACAAAACAATAGGCGTATTTTCAACCATTTAGACATGATGGATTAAAGCTTGATTAATTTCCACATTTACTTAGGCTCAAGTAAAGGTAAAATTTGGCTCAATGCTGGGTAAAAAATAAACAAATAAGCTTAAATGAGGTTTTTGAAATGAGATTTTTGTAAGAATCCAGTTCAAGTTTAGCTTACAATGCGTAAATTTTAAATCAACAAGCTTGAGCCTTATGGTACTCAGCTAGACACACTGGTGCCCTAGAAGTTTAAAAGACGATCCAAATAAAGTTCCTCAACATATGTTCCTAATTTATTTTTTCTATCAAGTTGAGTACAAATGACTGGACTTAACTTTAAATCAAATAATTTGAATTCGACTCCAATAAAGTGAGAATATAGTTTGAGAAGATTAATTTTGAGTAAACTTTCAAGCTAACTCAAACCAATCATATAAACTTCTAAAAATAAATTATAACCATATGGACGAGCTTACTCATACGTACACAAAGACATACAAAGCAATAGGCATGTTCTCAACCATTTAGCCATGTTGAATTAAAGTTTCATTAATTCCCACATTTACTTCAGCTCAAGCATATGTAAAATTTGGCTCAATGCTCGATAAATAATAAATAAATAAATAAGCTTGAATAGAATTTTTGCAAGAGTACAATTCAAGTTTGGCTTACAATACGTAAATTTTAAATCAACGAGTTTGGGCTTTCCGCACTTAGCTCGACACATTGGTGCCCTAGAAATTTAAATGACGATCTGCATAAAGTTCCTTAACATATGGTTCTAATTTATGTTTTATATCAAGTTGAATTCAAACTACTTGGCTTAACTAGAAATAAAAAAAAAATTTATTCAACCCTAAATAAGTTAGAATCTAGTAAGAGATGATTAATTTCGAGTAAACTTTCAAGGTAATTCAAGCCAATCATATAAACTTCTAAAATAAATTTTAATTTTAAATTTAGTGTGTAGGTATATAAACAAAGATATACAGAAGTATAAAAAATCACTAACATATGTGGTTCATCTATACATGCTCACATTTATATATATACACACACATACAAAATGTGTGAATAACCCTCTTTGAATCAAAAGAAATCAATTTTGATTGAAATTCAAGTGATTATGGAGCGAGATTCGAGCTTGAAGCATAATTATTAGCTTTATTTCATTTATGTGCATAGACTTGTTAGTTTCATAGCACAGAACTTATAAACTACATAGAATTTAACAAATGATTTTTTATAAGTATTTAGAGTTATCTCATTTATTTTAAATGAAAATACAATAACAAAAAAAAGATTAATGTGGAATTCAAAAAGTAGCATGATCTATTTTATTTTTAAAGCCCTCAATGTAGATTTCAATTAAAATATGTAAGTAATTTTAAGGTCACAGATGAAATGAATAGAATAATCTTATGTTAAAATCATACAAAGGAGTAGACAATAAGCAAAAACTTGGAATGAGAACTAAAGCAGCCCTCTTAAGATAAGAAAAAGCAACTTAGCATAGTGAAAAATGAATATATCCATACATAAAGATGTTATATCTGGTCATTTATATATATATATATATATATATACAGAGAGAGAGAGAGAGAGAGAGAGAGAGAGAGAGAGACTTAAAAGGATAATCCATTTTCCTTCCACATCATTTATCCCTATAAATTTTAAATAGCTATAATTTAAACAGTTAAAAAGATCATAAAAAAGAGAAACTGATCAAAATGATCTCTTGACTCTTTATGAAGGACCATAAATAATCTCCAACTATACTAAAGGACTATTTTGATCCTTCAACTCCTTACAGAGGACTCAAAATAGTCCCACCATAAGACCATTTTGATTAATTTTTAAGCACTTGAGACCAAAATGGTCCTTTAATATAAGTTGGGATCATTTTGGTCCTTCATAAAGAGTTAAGGGATCATTTTAATCATTTTTCTCTTAAAAAAATGATTATGTTTTAGCCACTTAAAATCTTAATCATTCAAATTTGTTGATCGAGGATGAATGATCAGTTAGGGGAAGTAAATGTTATTCTAAAAGGACAACAACCAATATAAATATCAATATATCATCGACCTGAGTAGAGCTCGTGACATACCTAAACTACTGGAATAGAATAAACAAGAGTTTGGATCATAATGATATCCACTTGCCAAGTTGTAATAATATCCTGAAGCAGCATCATGCTCCCATTCTGTAACCAGCAAAAACATATATTGCTTCAGGTTCATCACATTATAATTATAGAATATAACTGATATTGATGTCCAAACAAAAAATTTAAGAATGCTAACTATAAACTGTAGTTTGATTCAAGAAGGAAAAAATCATAACAGAGACCTATGGATGAGGCGATCTAACTTCATTCTGAAAGACTTATACCGTATTGAGGATATAAAGATTTAAAAAAAAAACAAAGGTTGCACTTCACCTCCAGATGTTGCTGAAAAAACAGATTTATCTGGAGCATTATCTCGCAAGGCTGATGAATTGCTGGAAGATTTATGAGTTTGTTGGAAAGAGGCCATGTCCTTCTGATAGCAGCGCTTAGCTTTCTGCATGTTAAAGTTTAAGAGTTAAACATTTAAATTTATTATAATCAATAAGGCTGGAGTTCGAGAGTTCCAACAGATAAGCCATCACTGGCATGGCTCAATCAACTATCGCTTTGAGAACTTATGTGGATAATAATATATATCTAAAAAATATTTCTGACACATAGAACCAGTCAATTAGAAAGCACGGAAACAAATATCTAACAAGTGAATCAACAATTTTGCACCTCCTCTATTTGCTCGAGTGCTTTAGCTGCTTCCTTCTTCTCCTTTTCTTTCGCAGCACTTTCCTTCCGCATAGTAGACAGCCTTTGAGCAACATTGTCCTTGTGGCGTTGACCTATTTCATGGGTTCTGATGCTCGCTGGATTGTTTGAAATATAAATTTTGCAGAAATCACACCATTTATTTCCCTGACTAACCCAGTACTGCATAACACCAGCAAAGCTTATATGTTAATAAGAAAGAGAGCAAGTGCCAGCACAAACACAAAGAAAAGCTAGAAACTTGATAAGCCTGATGTAAACAGTGGCTTGTAAAAAAAAAATTAGAAACAAACACAACAACAACAACAAGCCTTTGTCCCACTACATGTGGTCGGCTACAAAAATCCTTTTTCGCCATTGTGTCCGGTTAAAAGTCAAATTCTCATTTAAATCTAATAAAGAAAGATCATTTCTAATATTTTCTAACCAAGTTTTTTTAGGTCTACCTCTACCTTTCTTAACATAAGTCAAATCTAATACCTCAACTTTTCTAACCGGGTCATCAGAAGGCCTCCATTTAATGTGACCAAACCATCTAAGGTGACTCTCTCTAATCTTATCTTCCACTGGAGCCGACCAAAACTAAGGAAAAATTTCATGCCGATTAATCCATAAAAAAAACCAAGAAACACAATGAGGACAAAAGGAAGGTTACTAATTTCATGCGAGCAAAGAACATGTTCAGACATTATGCCTACTGAAAACCCATAGACAACTGAGCATCAATACAAGTGATCAGATTCAAGAAAAATCTGACCCAATATAAAGTTGAAATGAACCTAGGAACTTACCCAGTGAAAATGAATTTTGTTGTTATGAGAAATAGCATGTGGAAACAGGGTGATTAGATAGGAATCATACTCCTACTTGGTAATTTGCCAAGCCATGTCCCCATTCCTATCTCCAGTCTTATTGTTAACCACTTGACAGTATGACCTAAGTCGGCAATTCACATGCTAGGATAGAAAAAAGGGCAATTAACAGGCTAGGCTGGGCTTCTTGAAGATCTACAAGTTAGAATATTTCAAGGTTGAGCATATCCTTTGTAGAAGACTTCCCTTCACTGTTTTCTACTTCTACTTGGTTTAGACAGTAAGTTTGCTTCAAAGATTAAACCTTCCCTTCGCTTGAAGGTAATTTTTTTTGCGGATTTCCCTTTCAAGTTGTAGAAAACAACACCCCGAAAGTCCTATTTTCTGCTCCACAGCAAGAAGGCTCACTGCTCTGAATTCTTCTTTACAGAACAGCAAACCAGCTGCTGAATTCTGCTTCTTACCGATTGCTGGAAACAGAAAATCATCAAACCATATTTTCTCTTCATTGCATATTTCGGTCAGCACCAGGCGAGATCAGTAGAAAAAGATGCACTCCTAGCCATTGCTACAGTACCCTGGACTGTTTGCTGCAGTGCTGACACCTGCAACCGACAATACAGTACCCAGGAAACAAAACGCTGGAGAAAGATTCGCTGGAGAGGAATAAAGAAAATAAAGGAAATTTTTGGGGGATTTTTGTAATTAATTTTACTGTAGAATTCAGACCTTCTAATAGCAATTATAGCAAAAATAAGATTTAATATAACTGTTAAACAAACTCCAAAAAAAGGGATATCTATCAACATTAATAAATTAAATTTTATAGATACTTACAAAAGACTTTAACCTTATACAAAATTTAAATTCAAATACAATTTTATCCAAAATAAATTCAAACTCATCCTTACCCTATGGTTATATAAATTTTAATCCAACAATCCAACTTCTTGGGCCTTAAACTCCCTCATATGATATACAATTGATAACATGATCATGCCTATAGAGCCTCAGAAACATTCTCTCCTACCTGAACAAAGTGATCTTAGAATCATAGATATCAACAATCTCCATTAAGAAATCGAACAATTTGGAATCAATCATACTGATATCCTAATCCTTTCATGATCTAAAGCCCAAATCATGAGAGTAGCTTCATCTTATAGACTTCTTCTAAGTAAATGGTTACATTTATTATCCACTTCATGATCTGATCCTAGGATGATGGGTCACCTTTTAGGAGACTATCATCCTAGCAATTATAGCAAAAATAAGATTTAATAAACTGTTAAACAAACTCCAAAAAAAGGGATATCTATCAACATTAATAAATTAAATTTTATAGATACTTACAAAAGACTTTAACCTTATACAAAATTTAAATTCAAATACAATTTTATCCAAAATAAATTCAAACTCATCCTTACCCTATGGTTATATAAATTTTAATCCAACAATCCAACTTCTTGGGCCTTAAACTCCCTCATATGATATACAATTGATAACATGATCATGCCTATAGAGCCTCAGAAACATTCTCTCCTAAAGTGATCTTAGAATCATAGATATCAACAATCTCCATTAAGAAATCGAACAATTTGGAATCAATCATACGGATATCCTAATCCTTTCATGATCTAAAGCCCAAATCATGAGAGTAGCTTCATCTTATAGACTTCTTCTAAGTAAATGGTTACATTTATTATCCACTTCATGATCTGATCCTAGGATGATGGGTC